GAAACTATGGCATTAATTTAGAAGGAATGATCATGAAATTTAAAATAGAGACATTTGGATGCTCTGTGATAAAGTGCAGAATCTTTTTTTTTTAATTTTTATTTATTTATTTCTTTATTTTTATTATTATACTTTAAGTTCTAGGGTACATGTGCATAACGTGCAGGTTTGTTACATATGTATACTTATGCCATGTTGGTGTGCTGCACCCATCAACTCGTCAGCACCCATCAACCTGTCATTTACATCAGGTAAAACTCAGAATGCAATCCCTCCCCCTCCCCTCTCCCCATAATATGTCCCGGTGTGTGATGTTCCCCTTCCCGAGTCCAAGTGATCTCATTGTTCAGTTCCCACCTATGAGTTAGAACATGTGGTGTTTAGTTTTCTGTACTTGCGATAGTTTGCTGAGAATGATGGTTTCCAGCTGCATCCATGTCCCTACAAAGGACACAAACTCATCCTTTTTTATGGCTGCATAGTATTCCATGGTGTACATGTGCCACATTTTCTTAATCCAGTCTGTCCCTGATAGAGATTTGGGTTGATTCCAAGTCTTTGCTATTGTAAATAGTGCCGCAATGAACATACGTGTGCATGTGAAAGTGCAGAATTTTAAAACCCAGTCTTTCAGAGTTATTTCTGCCAGTTTCTGCCATTCCATTTTTCCTTTTCCTGAAGTCCTAGCAAAAACTTCACCTGAGGCAATTGCCTTACAATAAGGCATTTATTCTCTTCAATACCCACCACCATTACCTTTCATTCTCCACACAGAACAATCAAATAGAACTCTCAGTGGTGATGGAAATGGTCAATATGGTAGCCACTAGCAATGTAAGGCTAATTTGAGTTGGGATGTGATAAACTTGCTAAATACATTCTAGATTTCAAAGATTAAGAATAAAAGGAGAGATGGTAAATTCTTGCATTAATTTTATGCCAAATACATGTTGAAATTATATCTGTGGTTAAATAAAATATACAATTAAAATTAATTTTATCTCAAAAATGTGGCTACTGAAAAATTTAAAATTAAATATGCAGCTCACATTCCATTTCTATCAGCTAAACCAATACCCTTCAAACTCTTGCTCACATATATAAAAAGATTTTGGAAACTGTGCTTTCTCACAATTTTACATTGACATCTATTATTTAAAATTCTTAGTGTGAATAGATGCAAAGGATGCAATTACTACTTTAATTTTGCAAGTATTTTAAATATAGTTTTCTCAAAATGTTGCATCATTAGCTAACTCAATTTATAGAAAATATCCATGATATTTTAAAAATGCAAAAACTGTAAAATCAATCAGACAATTCAGAAATTCTTTCTGTCTAAAAAAGTCAGACTTTTTGTCTTAATTAAAATTGACCTATAATATCCTAACTATCATGAGTTCTATATAAGGATAAATAGACATACAAATAGTGGAATTGAAAAATAGATGAATGGATGAATGACAATTAGATGATAGATGACAGGTAGATACATAACATACATACTTGTATACATAAATAGATACATAGAGAAATAGATGATAGATACACAGATGCATAGATGCAGACATGGGCTTTCTATGAGTTTGTTGCTTGGTTAATATGATGTGATTCCCTTCAAATATGTCTTAGTGAAGCTTTTTGTTTCTTTGCTTAGTCTCAAGATCTGTCCCTCAGGAGCTATGAATCTGGGATTTCCTATTCTAATTCTCCAGAGTTTTATTTACACTCAAGCAATGTAACATATTAATATTCCAGTTGGAGAAGTAATATATGATTCTCTTTTGAAACTTGGAAAAACAAGTACAAGAGGGAAAGTGATAAAGAAGAACAAACAGATTCAGGTATGTCTTCAGTCTTCATTTCACACATGGAGCTGATGTTGAATGTGCACATTAATGCAAGAAGAACAATTAATTCAAAGACTAGGTACGTTTAAAGTACTAGTCTAATGTTTTAACTTGCTGTTATGAAGAAACCCTCAAATATTTTCATCACTCAAATGCCATAATTAAAGGAAACATTCCCTTACAGAAGCTTGTGGAAGTGGCATAAAGGAACATCAAAAATGTATATTAGTTTAGACTACAATGCTCAGTTATTACATTTTGTTTTCTGTGAACTTAATTGCAATGTTTGTAAACTGATTAGTAATAATGACGATAATTTAATGTTTAATGTTTTAGAATAAGACAGTCACCTATAAATTATTCAATCACATAATGAAATATAGAAGAAAATTATATGTAATGATAATTTTGCATTAACACATGTTAAGTCCAGTAAATAACAGGAAAGAAGTATGTTTCTTGAGGAGATGGCAGCATTTGGCAATAAAAATAGGTGTCATTTAAAGTGAACTTGCTTTGTATCAGTAACTTCACGTGTTCCTTTCTGTATGACCTTATGATATGGTATTATGACCTCTAATCTATGAAAAAGAAACTGTGGTTGGGCTTTCATAGTGAGAGTAACAGCCTAGATTGAAACTTGTTTAATTAATTTAATCAAATTTTAAATCTCAGGTTACTTTTTCCATCAACCATGTACTTTTTTTGGTACATTTAGAACACCATAATTGCTCAAATATACAGAAAATCATGAACAATAATTACTGAACAAATTATAAATGTAGAGGTATTAAGCACCTTGGTTAATTCGGATGTATGCAAACTAGTATAGCTGTGTGCTTATGATTTATACCAACAATTTCCTTCTGAAAAGCGTTCCAAGGAGTAATCTATGAAAGCAAATATCTCTAACAGTGTTTTTAAAACTGTGTACTATAACCTGTTAGTGCATCATGAAATTAATTTAGTGGGACATAATCAATGTTTTAATAATAAACAGATTACAGTCAACTGGAATGGAAAATACAGGAGCACATTCATGTAAAGGAAAATATTTCATATGTGTAAAACTGTGGTGTGTGTGGTGTGTGTGTGTGTTTGAACTGGGTCACAAGGTAAAATATAATTCTTACTGTGGCTCATGATGAATAATTCTTGTAAACCAATTTCCGCAAGATATCTTAAAAAAGAGTTAAGCTAACTGATCAAAATTAAATGTCTATATTTATTAATAAAAAATAGCAAAGAACTGAAAGTAATTATGTTCTCCTAAGAAAATAATTTGCATTTTTTGGAGAAAAAGGAGAAATACATTTGAGTAGATTAGGTAATATAAACAAGTAGAAATGTGACAACCTCTGAAACTTCATTTAATTCCATAATGATAATGATTTAAAGTTAGCAAAGCAGACATCTTATAGAACATGAGATAATGCCACATTTTGATGACAATTACATGTAATTGCGAAGACAAAACAATATCTCTATCTCAATGAAAGATTAATTAAATGTGTTTATTCCATATTTTATAATGAATTAGCTGCATCTATCTTAGAAAAATATATTTATACCTTACTGTGAGATAAGTCTTTGTACCTACACGTATCTCATAAAGTACAGAGCTCTGACCTTTGCTAACTATGTGATCTTCGACAAGTTATAGGTTTGCTTAAATGCAGATAATAGAAGTATCTCCTTCGTGAGAGTCTTACAAGGAATAAATAATTCATAAAAAGTACCAGAAAAAAACTTCTGAGAATAGTGTACAGCATGCTGCTAAGTGTTCAACAAATGTCAGTTTTCCAAGTACTTCATGTTTTTTTGTTTTTTTGTTTTTCCTCAACAACCAATAATTTGCACAGAGAAAGAAATCAATAAATATTTGTTGCACTGAATTGAACTGACGACACAGGTTGGGTGGATAACATGATTTCCTTCATGCAACGGAGGGATTTGATTTAGAAATTTACTCAAGTTTATAGAGATAATTTGGGGCAGAGTAGGTTTCTGATCTAGTTCTTCTGATTTATAAAGCAGGGCTCTTCTGTGAAACAAATCTAATTGTCCCTGTGTTGAATCTTAAACCAACTCTGCTGATCTTAGAATTAGGTTTCAAGAACTTGACAGGTGATCACAAAAATTCCCGGGAGGCAATATGTACTTTAATAACAATGAATTAATAATGTATTTCAAGGCCTTATTAGCTTTACTAACAAGTGTGTTTGCATTATCGTACTTATTTCTTATGATACTATAAAATACGTGTCTTTATTATTCACATTTCATAGATATAGATAAAGAAACAACATGAGAGAGGTTAAATAACTTAAAGTTATCTGAAAATTATACATCAGTATATGAAACACAATCTGGCCCAATTTCAAGAGCTCTACCACCAAACTTTTTAAAATCTAGCCCAAAGAAGTTATCACATAATCTGAAGATCTGAGAGAAATGATGAATTTTCCTATTTAGGTCCTCTCTACTGTTACAAAATCAAGTCTTACAAACAGAAGCAGGATAGCAGGATAGTAAGAGCAGGAAAGAAAAACCAGCAAAATTTTCAGCTGCTTTTACATTCATTGTATTACAATTTTGCTTGAGGTATAGTGGCATGTACATATTTAGATGTGTTACTCATATTAGAATCAAATAGAAAGGCAATTCAACTTTTTGAAATATCCATAATATAAATTCTTTATTAATGCAGGGCACATTAAACAAACTATTCCAAATAAATAGTTATGTGATATATAGCAATAGAGGAACATTGAAATGAAAGTCAACTATGTATAAAAACACGATTGACCTGAATGATGTGTCAAACAGAAAAGATACAACAACAGCCACTATTCATGATTCCTTTTAAAAAGAATACACTTAACAACCTTCAAAAATGTATCTCAGAAAGCATTCCTTTATAATTTTAACATTTTCATGTATACATTATTAGCTTGGAGTAGAGTTGTATTATTTTTTATTTTTTCCCAAATTTCTCATATAAACTTGGTTTATAAACGGATAAGTAGGGAAAATTGCCAAAATTCTACTTGAGTTATAAATTTTCTGTACTGCATGCTCCATATTATTTCTTTGCCTTTGTCTTTATGATTATGACTTTTTTTTTGACCACAGATGGTGTTCTCTTACCTTATTTGTATTCACTGCAGTGATGACCCAGACACACTGTGCATTGCTGTCATACTGGAATGGAAAGTTGGGAGATGTAAAGGTACCACTTGGTCCTTGAAGATTAGAGCCACACGTTTTCACTAAAAGAGAAATTGCATTTTAAAAGATGAACATATGCCACATATAAAATTACAATAAAATATCTTGCAAATAGACTTTAAATTCAAAATGACACAATTATAACCACATTGAAATATACATTATGGTATTCTAATGTCACTTATGAAAATACAGTGTTTATAACACCCTGGGATTCACGAGCTCAATATTTTCAACATTAATGGAAAACTAGTTACGAATAGAAATGTGAGGCATGATAAATTGTTCTCTGATTTTAAATAGGTGTGTTTAATTAGAGAAAGGCATATTTACCCAATATTGTGTTAACAAAAATATACAAAGAGAGTAAAACAGAGCCTTGGATTAATGAAGCAATCTAAAAAGTGTTTTTATTTGTGTTTGTTAAGTACCCTAGGACTCACAATCGCGCAGTTGAGAACCATCAATAGTAAAACTTCTCTTTCTGTACTTACAACTATGAATTAAAGAACTCAGACTAAAAAAAAAAAAAAGTTACATTTAAGTAATTTTAATGAATTCCCACAAAAGTTGAAAGTTGTAGAATTTTCTGTTTTCTAACTCATCTTTCCTCTACTTAATAAATGAGCTAGTGACCATACTGTTTCTGTTTCTTAACTTGCTTCTTGACCACCACGAATTTCTGGATGCCACTACTTTTGATCTGGATTTCCTTGCCCCATTCTATCAAATCCTGCCCATATTATCATTTTCTAATCCATCAAAAATAATCTAATTCATGTTTAAATGATGAACAGTTAAATGTATATTTTCATGTGCACTTAAATTTGTGCATAGTTACCTTCATCATCACTTTGAAAATCAGTTTATGGACCTCCTAAAAGTTTTCTTGACATGGTCAAAGTCATGCTTCTAGTACATAGTAGTCAGAATTTTGGCCCAGGTCTTCTGGCTCAAGTCTTGTTTTTTAAATCACTAAAAGTGTGTCTTTCTTATATGTTACATGTAGATTTCTTTATTAGTTTCTTCTCTTCATAGCATAAATCTATTTCAGACAACTTTCCTGCAACTTGATGGTTATATCTTATGTTGATTTAATAGCTACAGTACTTTTAATTATATTGTGAGTGTGTGCATATAATTTCTATATTTTAACCAATAAAATCATATTACTTTGTATTAAAAAAATAATAAATTGTATTTTTCTTCCCTTACCATTATTTGCAATTCAATCTTTTTTCCCATTTACTACTTAACTTCTTGTAAATATTCTATGCTCACTACTCCATCTTCCTCTCCCCTTTCAGTCTTCAAAATATTTCAGTCTGATTCCCATTCTTATTTCAGTGTTTAAATTGTTTTTTTTAAGCCAGCAATGAACTCATAATTGCTAAATATAGTATCTCTTCCTTTTTTCCGCATATTTGATATCTCAGCAGTAATGCAAAGTATTGATAAGCTTTGAAATTCTCTGCCTTCCCTCACATAGTATTAAGCTCTCCTGATTATTTGCATGTATGTTTTAAATAGTTCTGCTCTACCATATTATTTTTTCTGGTTTTATTTTTCCCATCTGACCCTTAAGTAGCATAATTCTAAATGGATTTAATCTCCTCTTTTCTATTTTTTCAATGGTTTCTCTGAATAGTTAAACTAATTCACTTCTATGACTGGAAAGGACATTTCTGTGTTGATAGCTCTCAAATCTACATCACCAGTTTTGGCATCTCTCCTGATTTCTAGATTAGCTTTCTGTCCACTGGACATTCTATTAGATGCTTTTAGGAAGCACTTTCAATTAAATATTTCTTGAATAGACTATCCAGCTCCTTGCCTTGCATAATATATACTCCTCATGGTCTATTCAGTTTTCCTCCTTGGAAATATATCTGTTTTGCTTCATCTCTTCTCTTCCCAGTGTCCAGTGCTTCTTCCTCATTTTTCTTGTACTGGTAATAGCTACTTAACCCCTTTTCTAGACTCCAGCTTCTCTCTCTGTTACATCCTGCTCACTCCTACTATATTTATCTTTCTAAAATGCAGATTTCATTACCTAATTGCATGAAAACTTGGTATCTATTTCAGATGGAATAAAGTACAAATTTCCTAATAGAGAATATAAAATTATTCCTTTGAGGACCTAAATTTATTTTCTAGTACAATTACCCACCATTTAACATAGTCATACACTTTACTTGTGCCAGAACAGACATCTTGCTCTTCTTTGAATTTACCGTACTCGTTATAATTTTCTACATTTGTCATGCTGTTTTCCAGGTTTAGAATATTATTCCTTCTTAACATTTACTTGCAAATATTCTATAAAACAAAGCCAATGTGATGTGCCACTTCTTTCCATAAGAAGGGTTTTTAATTCTTCCACTAAGGGTTCTGTAATGGATTGTACAGTTCATAGCACGTTATTTGAACAGCACATTTATACAAGTGTTTAGGTGCTAGTAGCCTGATAGGGAATGCAGCTTGAAAGAGTCTAAGAACTTTATAGAAATGAGAAATTTATACGAATCACAACGCAATTGGTTTGTAGCAGCTATAACTTTCTGATTGAATATACTGCTTATCTGAGTGGTACTTACTACTTTGTAATTCTCTGGCATCCTTTGTTTCCTAAACTATATACACACTTAGAATCTTTTGAAGTCAAGGCCTTGTTTATCATCTTTGTTAACTACTAGTGTAATGGCTTTCATGATGTACGTATGTTTGCTAAAGAAAAAAATATTCAAGTTCTTTGGCACAGCTCTTAAATTAACTATAAAATAGTGGTCTCTTCATCCTGATGAATATTCTTTACAAATATGTTTCAGAGTGAAAAACTGTCTTCTATAAAAATGATTTTATTTTTTTATAAAAGTAAAGCACAAACATTTATAAAATGACAAGTAACAATTACCTGTAAATATTTTGGTCTGCTTATCTGCTTCCATCCAAACCTGACAGTAACCACTTAACAAGTTGTCTGTCTACAGACATTTTTGTTTTGCGGCAATACGAGTTTTTGCGTATTTCTTGTTTTCTTAATGTATTTGTGTGTTTTAACAAGCATAGCTAATTCTATAATATTAGTCTGAAGATATTTTTTGCATATATCATGACGACTGTTCTAGGTCAGTACCTATAGGTTTTTTTCTTTCACAGGTTTAACAGTACAAACAGAAGCTGATAGAACTATTGGATATTTTTGACAGGCTTCCACTATGAGAACAGCACAAGATAATTAGGAGGTTTCTTTAATCCTGCAGTCGGAAATAAGAAGACATGTAGAACAGACCTGCTATTTGAACAGAGTTGCAGCAGTTCACACATAGCAACACAAATACAATGAAGATCTTGGTACATTTACGTGTTACGTTTTATAGTTGAAAAAATCAAAACAAATTCATTATTATGGAAAACTAAATTGTAAAATCTCAGTGGCTTACAACAATAAGTAATTTTTCTCTTCAATTCTATTGTATTTGTGCTTTACACTTGTGTTATTATTGCAGGATTAATTCTTAGAAGATTAGTTAGTTACAATATGTGAGCATTTAAAAATTTGATAAATATGCCTAAATTACTCTCCAAAAATTTGTTCAGTATACTCCCAAAAATAATATTAAAAAGAGAACAGTTCCCCATGCTGTCACTAAAATAATAGTATCAATCATTATGCTTTTGTCATTCTCAAGAATGTCACTGTTTTAATTTCCAATTCTTTCTCTACATTTTTAGTACGCTTTAACAGAAGTCTTTATTGATGTCTCTATTTTTTGTTCCGACTTTTCTCTTTGTACACTTTCCCTCATTTCAATTTTTTCTTACTGATTTATAGAAACTTAATATGTGTTACTAATATTAACCCTTTTATGTGTGCTACAAATATTTTCTTACAGATTTTTGCTTTTGATTTTGCTTTGAATTAATTTTTCTCTACAAACTTAAAAATATGTGTAAATCTGTCAGTGTCTTCTTTTTGATCTTGTATTTTGTATCTCATGCAAGAAAGATTTTCTTCAAATCTAAGATTGAAATACAACCTTTATTTATCAGACTTTGATAGTTTTATTATATTATAATTAAACTTCATCTACAAATTGATTTCTTACGGGGCAAGGTAAAGGAGCATTTATAGTAAATTCTGTATTATTCGTCACAAACTAGAACTACCATTTATATTATATTTATATAGACCATACATAAATGTATAAGAAACCCATATATGGATGTGAGCCTTTTTTTCATATTGACTTACTGATCTATGATTATTCTTCTGCCAGTACCATACTGTTTTAGTCATTTTTTACATACATAGCACACATCTCCCCATTCTTATTCAGTTTCATAATTATATTGATTATTCAATAATATTTATTTTCCACAAACTTTAGTTGTGCCCATTTGTCAAAGTAAAGAAGAATGGTGTCTGTATTAAATTATATTGATTTCATACATTATTTTGATACAAATTTTTCACTTCAATGAAGCCTTTAATAACACAAAAGAAATAAATACATGTGATTAGAGTAAATGTACTATAGTAAAGTAGTACATTTGAGAAATTAAGCTGAAATTTCTTATAAAAACTCCATACTTACAGTCTCAGAAAAATAGAAGTAGTAGAAAAAGAAAAAAACCTTGTAAATATACCAATGAATGTATGAAATCAAAGCAAGTATTGGGTTATAAATAAAATATGACAAATTTGGTCATTAAAGATTAGAACAAAACGTGGATGTCCACACTAGTGATATCATTCAATATTTTCTTAGAGGTTCCAGGCAAGGCAAAAAAATCAAAAAAATGTGAAAAGAGTTACAGAATTTGAATAAGAAACATATGTCATTATTTACATGTAATATAATTTTTCTTTCTTATATTCAAGAGATGTAATAATTTATCTACCACAATATGCTGTATTATTTTCAAGAGTCCTATATGTTGGATTTAAAATATATAATTCATATAAAATGTACAGGTTCTTTCTTTTTTCTTTTCTTTTCTTTTTCTTTTTTGGTAGATGGAGTCTTGCTCTGTTACC